ATATGTATTTGTGTATGTATTGCAGTGTAGTTCAGTGTCCAGATTGCCTCTTGGTATGATATATGGTACAGAGATCAGTGGCAACGAACCGTTTATTGCCATAGGTAGCAATGTTTTATCAAATATGAAGGGTTTCTGTTCTTTATATGGAACGACATACTGTAATCATATGACTTAGGATTAGAAATTGTTCATACAAAACTACTATATTGACGTCTAGTTATAAACCAGGACACAACTTGATTTATCTTTAGGCTCACTTGGTATAGTCTTGTACTACAGGCAGGCATGACTGTACACATGTATGCAGACAATCCCGTAATGAATATTTATACCTACCAGTATATGTCACTCCATCTACCTACCCAGCAATATATGGCTTACACATACATTCCACCAGGCCCCTCCCCCCCGAATATTGGATTTAGAGTTAAAAAAAGTACATCCCAACACCAACCTCTCTCTGCATACAGGACATCAAGCTCAACGGGACGGATCGAGAAACACCGTGGCTACAGTTCCGCATCACGCAGTTACTTCCTCTGGGCAACATGACCTACCTGGATGAATCGGGCCACAGGTCACAGGTGCAAGTGGGGCGATTGCTGCCCAGGGGTGTGGAGTATATCACCGTGGAGTTGGATATAGACATCGGTGGTATGTGATGTGGTGGGCCTTACACATGAGGTGCTTTAAGGTTCTCGCGTAGTGCATGTGTAGTTTGAAGTATGTGTAGTCCATGTGTTTGTTCTGAGATGTCTGTTATACGTGAGGTACCTTAAGGTTCTTGCGTAGTGCATGTGTACTTTGTAGTGTGTGTTGTCCATGTGTTTGTTGTGAGATGTCTGTTATACATGAGATGCTTTAAGGTTCTTGCGTAGTGCATGTGTAGTTTGTAGTGTGTGTTTTTCATGTGTTTGCTGTGAGATGTGTCATACATGAGGTGCTTTAAGGTTCTTGCGTAGTGCATGTGTAGTGTGTAGTGTGTTTTCCATGTTTTTGTTCTGACATGTCTCATGTACTTATTGGTGCGTGTATGTCGGATCTGCCATCCATGTTGTTGTGGTTGTTCATTTGGTCGGGCCTTGTACTATAGATGATATATCCATATCTCCTATTCCAGGGGTATGTTAAGGCCTTGTACAATAGATGTTATATCCATACCTTCTATGGCAGGGGTATGTTAAGGCCTTGTACTATAGATGATATAACCATATCTCCATTCCGGGGATATGTTAAGGCCTTGTGTTATAGATGGTATAACCATATCTCCTATTCCGGGGGTATGTTAAGGCCTTGTACTATAGATGGTATAACCATATCTCGTATTCCGGGGGTATGTTAAGCCCTTGTACTATAGATGGTATAACCATATCTCCATTCCGTGGGTATGTTAAGGCCTTGTACTATAGATGGTATAACCATACCTCCTATTCCGGGGGTATGTTAAGGCCTTGTGCTATAGATGGTATTACCATATCTCATATTCCGAGAATATATTAAGGCCTTGTACTAAATCCATTTATAGGCATACAGCTGTATTGTAGTATTATATACTGTTAGTGGGTATATCTCGATATGTAGCATATTCTATTTATAGTCATACAGCTGTACTGTAGTATTATATACTGTTAGTGGGTATATCTCAATATGTAGCGTATTCTATGTATAGGCATACAGCTGTATTGTAGTATTATATACTGTTAGTGGGTATATGTGTCGCTGGTTACTATAATCCATTAACACCTGATACTGTATGTTTTGATTTCAACAACGCCTGTCTTGCTGGTAGGAGGACCCTTTACTTTTAAGTATGAGGTGTGGGATGGCGATATGAATAGCACTGAAGCCGTAGTGCCCGTTTTCTCCACCTGCGGCGGCGGTTACTATGTCGAAGGTGTGTATACAACCAATGAAAGTACATGCATATCAGATATGCCTGTGATTGATATAGTCTACTTGGTATGTTCAAGGTGTGTACAGAGACAATGTATGTACATACATATCAGATATGCCTGCGATTGATATAGATCACATGTTATGCTCACCGCGTGTACAGAACTGATACACGGTGCGTATATCATTATGTTTGAGATTGAGATGATTAACGATCATGTTCACAGTGGGATGTAGTACGAATACACCAACATATATATCGGGTAGACCTGTGATCTATATAGTACTATGTTCAAAGTGTGTGCTGAACCAAATGCTTAAATTATACTAATGATTTGGGCCGATCAATAATAAACAAATTTTGTCTTTTTATACAGCGGAGACATCGCGATGTGAGCCATGTCCAGCGGGTACCTACAGCGACGTCAACAATCTGTTGCAGTCATGCATCGACTGCCCACGACACACAGCC